CTGAATGTTCCGTCACTAAAAACCTTGTGAATAGCAGTGGACCACTATCAGCACCAGAATATGGAATACTGAAAGATGATGAAGAGAACCAGACTACGGTCAGAAAGAGCGCTGGAAGATGAGCTCCTCAGGTTGGAAGGCACTCAAGAGACGACTAGGGAAGAGCTGCCTCCTCAAAGTAGAGTTGACTGTGAGTTTACTATGATGACGTAAATGGAGTAAAGCCCTCGGGACCTTCCTTTGCTGATGGGGTACAACTCAAAATGAGGAGACACAGCTATAAACATCCATTAATAATCGGATCATGGAATGTAATCTAGGAAAACTGAAAGTGGACAATAATGGAAAGCATAAATACTGATATCCTAGGCATTAGAGTGAGCTGAAATGAACTGGTATTAACCATTTTGAATCAGACAATCACATGGTTTAGAATTCTGGGAATGACGAAGAGGAATGGGGTCACATTCATCAACAAAAGGAACATACGATCTGTCTTGAAGTATACAACACTGTCTGTGACAAGATAATATCCATACGCCTATAAGGAAGACCAGTTAATACCACTGTTATTTCAAATTTACTCACCAACCACTAAAAGCCAGTGATGATGAAATTGAAGAATTCTACCAACTTCTTCAGTCTGAAATTGATCAAACATATGATCAAGACGTATTGCTCATTACTGATGATTGGAATGCAAAGGTTGGGAGCAAAGAGGAAGGATCAGTAGTTGGAAAATCTGGCCTTGGCTGGTGACAGAAACAATGCTGGAGAACGCATGATAGAATTTTAAAAGACAAATGACTTCTTCATTGCAAGTATCTTTCTTAAGATGACTATACACATGGACCTCACCAGATGGAGTACACAGAAATCAAATTGACATTTGTGGAAAAAGACAGTGGAAAAGCTCCATATCACCAACCAAAACAAGGCCAGGGGCAGACTGTGGAACAGATCATCCACTGGTCATATGCAAGTTCAGATTGAAGCTGAAAAAAATTAAAAGAAGTCCATGAGAGCCAAAATATGACCTTGAATCTATTCCACATGAATTAAAAATCAGCTGATTTTTGATGCATTAGACACGAAAGACCTGAAGAGTTGTGGGAGGACATCAAGAACATCCTACAGGAAGAAAGCAAAAGGTCATTAAGAAGACAGGAAAGAAGTATAAGACCCAAATGGATGTCAGAAGAGACTGAAGATGCTAAAGCCGAATGAAGAAATGAGATACAAGAGCTGAACAGAAAATTTCAAAGGTCAGCTCTAAAAAACAAAGTCAAATATTTTAACAAAATGAGCAAAGACCTGGAGTTAGAAAACCAAATGAGAAAAACATGCTCAGCATTTCTCAAGCTGAGGAAACAAAAAATTCAAGCCTCAACTTGCAATACTGAAGGATCCTGTGGACAAAATGAACTCCTGGTGTGGCACTATAATATCAACTGGACCCATACCACAAGGTTGACAGTTCAAACCCACCAGCTGCTCCTCAGAAACCCTACAAGGTCACTGTAAGTCGGAATTGACTCAACAGCCCTTTACAACATGGGTAAAATACAGAATGATATAGTAAGCATCAAAAGAAGATGGAAGGAATCTACAAAGGCATTGTAGCAAAAAGAAATGGGTGATGTGCAACCACTTCAAGAGGTAGCATATGATCAAGAGCCAATGATACTGAAGGAAGCAGTCCAAGGTGCATAGAAGGAATTGGCAAAGAACAAGGCACCGAGAATAGAATACACATTGAAATCTTTCAACAAACTGATGCAGCACTGGAGGTACTCACTCATCTCTGCTAAGAAATTTGGAAGACAGTTACCTGGACAATTATATTCGGAGATCCATTTGTGCCCATTCCAAAGAGAGGTGACCCAAAGGAATGCAGAAATCAGGCAGTATCATTAATACCACATGCAAGTAAAATTTTGCTAATGATAAATTTTTAAATGGTGCAACAAGTACTTTGACAAAGAACTGCCAGAGGTTCAAGTCAGATTCAGATGAGGATGTGGAAATAGGAGTATCATAGCTGACGTTAAATGGATCTTGGCTGAAAGCAGAGAATACCAGAAAGATGTTTACCTTTGCTTTATTGACTATGCATGTGTGGATCATGACAAGCTATGGACAACACTGTGAAGTATGAGTATTCCTGAACACTTATATGAGGAACACCAAGAGGCAGTTGTTCGAACAGAACAAGGGACCACCGAATGGTTTAAAATTAGGAAAGGTGTGTGACAGGGTTGTATTCTTTCACCATACTTATTCCACCTGTATGCTGAGCAAATAATCTGAGAAGCTGGGTTATAAGAAGAAAAACGTGTCATCAGGATTGGAGGAAAACTATTAAAACCTGCGATATGCAGATGATATATATAGCCTTGCTTGTTGACAGCCGAGAGGACTCAAAATACTGATAAAGACCAAAGACAAAATACTGATAAAGATCAAAGACAAAATACTGATAAAGATCAAAGACAAAATACTGATAAAGATCAAAGAGACCACAGCCTTCAATATGGGAAAGAAAACAAAAATCCTCACCACCTGACTAATAAACAACATCCATATCCATATAAATGGAGAAAAGACTGAAGTTGTCCAGGACTTCATTCTTCTTGGACCAAGTGTCAACACTCATGGAAGCAGCAGTCAAGAAATCAAATACTGTACTGCATTAGACAAATCTGCTGCACAAGACCTCTTTAAAGTGTTGAAGAGCAAAGACGTCAGCAGTTTGAGGA